CTGCAGTCAGTTACTTTTCATTCACTCCCAGGCTGGTATTTTCTGTGTTGCAAGATTATCCAACTACAGCCTGAAACACTGATCTGGAAACAGCAGTTTTTCCTCCCATGGACATAGGAAACCTGTCTTCTGGTTTTAGGCAGAGCCCGGCCATCCTATCTCATTTCCATGGACGGCTCCCTCTCCTCTGCCCCTCCAGGTCTTTCACGAATTCTCCCCTCACCTGGTGTGCTCTGCCCCATCCCTCAGCCACTCCTGACTTTCTGTGGATGACCTGACCTTTTTTTTTGTTAATAGGAAATACTGGATCCAGAGGAGCCCTTTAACCAGAATTCCCACAGATTCTCACAAGTAAATCTATAAAGTTTCCCGGTCTCTGCAGTCTCTCAGTCCGTCCTCCATGGTAGTAATTTTCAGGGACACTGTCTGGTGGAGGATCAAAGGCCACTTCTTCTCTGGGTTCGCTCCTTCCCTCCTTCTTCTCTCCCTCCCTCCCTCCCTTCTCAGCCCCGAGGGCTCCTCACTGGTCCTTGCGTCTTCACTGCCATCCTGTCCTCTGCATTGCTCCATCGGCAGTGCTCTTACCCTTTTGATGTCATTTGAGTCAACCTTTGTTCCACTCATAGGTTCCAAAACACCAGTAAGAACAACCACGCTAACAAAAACCTATCCATTACTTTCTGAGTCCCATGCCCAACCTGATGAATGAGCACCTGAGGTTTTTTTTCTTTTTTATTTTGCAAGAATTTTATTTTATTTATTTTATTATTATTATTATTATTATTATTATTATTATTTTTGAGACGGAGTTTTGCTCTTGTTACCCAGGCTAGAGTGCAATGGCGCGATCTCGGCTTACCGCAACCTCCGCCTCCTGGGTTCAGGCAATTCTTCTGCCTCAGCCTCCTGAGTAGCTGGGACTACAGGCACGTGCCACCACGCCCAGCTAATTTTTTTGTATTTTTAGTAGAGACGGGGTTTCACCATGTTGACCAGGATGGTCTCGATCTCTTGACCTCGTGATCCACCCGCCTCGGCCTCCCAAAGTGCTGGGATTACAGGCTTGAGCCACCGCGCCCGGCTTATTTTATTATTTTTGAGACGGAGTCTTACTCTGTTGCCCGGGCTGGAGTGCGGTGGTGCGATCTTGGCTCACTGCAGCCTCTGCCTCCCGGGTTCAAGCGATTCTCCTGCCTCAGCCTCCCGAGTAGCTGGGATTACAGGTGTGTGCAACCATGCCTGGCTAATTTTTGTATTTTCAGTAGAGACGGGGTTTTGCCATGTTGGCCAGGCTGGTCTTCAACTCCTCACCTCAGGTGATCTGCCTGTCCTGGCCTCCCAAAGTGCTGGGATTGTAGGCATGAGCCACTACCACCTCGCTGGCCTATTTTGCAAGAATTTTAGACATAAATTTGCAAAATTAATGCACAGAGTTCCCATATACCCTCATTCAGCTTCCCCTAATAATAACATCTTACATGATCATAGTGGAGTTATGAAGTTAGCATTGGTTCAATGCCAGCCATGAAACTACAGACTTTACAGGGTTCTTCCAGTTCTTCCTCTTTTGTTCTGGAGCCCAGTCCAGACTTGCACATCACGTTTAGTTGACCCGGCTCCTCAGTCTGCTCGAGCCTGTGACAGTTCCTCTGTCTTTTCTTGCCTTTTATGACCTTGGCATTTTTGAAAGTTGAGTATTTTATAGAACATCCCTGGTACTGGGCCCATCTGATGTTTCCTCATGATGAGAGGAAGCGTTTTGCATAAGCTGCTTTGCCTTTTTAGAAACTTACATCTTTAACCAGCTCCTTGGTGATTCTTCTCTCTCATCTCAGAACCAAGCGACTTCCCCAGATCCTCCAGGTGTCTGCTCCCCTCCCCGTCGCACGCAGCAGAACTGCTCATCAAGTTGTCTGTGTGGATCCCGTTTCCTCAGCCGCCCTTTGCTAGTCAGCCTGTCTTCTGCCACCGTCAGACACGTGCATACCTAGAGGGCCTCTCCAGCCTGCATGTGCTTGATCTTTCAGGGTCATTCAGCGCAGCGACCCTTCCCGAATATTCACCAATTCTCTGTGTTCTTGTCACCTCCCATTCCTGGTTTTCCTCGGTCTCCCTGGCTTCTCCTCTTCCCATTTGCAGGTTTATCTCAGGCTCGGAAATCCATTTGCATACTTAATATTACCATGTGAATTTCCCTAAAATGAATCTCAGGCTAGTGCTTCTTAAACTTTAATGGGCACATGAATCACCTGGGGATAGTGTAAGACCTGACTTTCATGTCTTACTGTGTAAGAAATACATTTCCTGGCTGGGTGCAGTGGCTCACTTTGGGAGGCTGAGGCAGGAGGATTGCTTAAGGCTAGCAGTTTGAGACTAGCCTGGGCAACAGAGTGAGACCCTATCTCTGCAAAAGAAAGATTAAATAAATTATCTGGGTGTCATGGCACATGCCTATAGTTCCAGCTGTTTGGGAGCCTGAGCTGTGGGGGACTGCTTGAGCCCAGGAGTTCAAGGCTGCAGTGAGCTATGATTGTACTACTGTACTCCAGCTTGGCTAACAGAGCATGACACTGTCTTTAAAAACAACAACAACAACAAAAGAAATATATTTCATAAGGCTCTAGCTGCCATAGGTAGTGATTCCTCTCATGGGTCTGAGGAAAGTACATCAAAAGCATTCTGGAAAGGGTTTACCATTCTAGATGTCATTAAGAATATTCATGATATGTGAGAGAAAGCCACAATATTAACATGAATAGAAGTTTGGAAGAAGTTGATTCGAAACCTCATGGATGACTTTCAAGAGTTCGAGACTTTGCTGGAGGTAGTGGCTGCAGATTGAGTGGAGAACCTGAATTAGAACCTGAAGATGCGACTGAACTGCTGCACTCTCATGGTCCAGTGTAAACAGATGAGGAGTCACTTCTTATGGATGAGCAAAGAAAGTGGGTTCTTGAGATGGAACCTAGTCCTGGTAAAGATGCTGTGAACATCACGGAAATGACAACAAAGGATGTAGACTGTCCCATAAGCCTAGCTGATAAAGCACTTGGCAGAATCGGAGAGGATTGACTCCAGTTTTGAAGGAAGTTCTGCTGTGGGTCTAATGCTACCAAACAGCGTCACAGGCTACAGAGGAGTCTTTCATGAAAGGAGCGGCAGTTGATGAGGCAAACTTCATTGTCTTAAGATATAGCCACCCTAACCTTTATCAGCCCCTACTCTCAGCCAGCAGCCATCAACACTGAGACAAAATACTCCACCAACAAATAGACCAACTCGCTGAAGGCTTAGGTAATTGTTAGCATTTTTTAAAAGTGTTTTTGCCTGTAAGTTTATTCAGTGCAAAACAATCCTCTCCGATTTTACTGAGGTCCATGACCAAATCCACCTGTAAACTGGAATTGGGCTGCTGACCCAGCCCCAGCCTCGGCTTTCTTGTTGGCACCAGGGGGCACAGCACTTCGTCTGCAGGTATCTCTGTTGGCTTACCCTCTTGTGAGTCTTGCAGGTCGCTCACCCTCCAGACCTTTAGGCCGAGGCCTGCCAGTCTCTGGATGGCTGCGGTGTAGAGTGGCAGGCACAGTCTCCGGGGGCAGATGAAGTTCATCACAGAGATACTGGATACCCTCATTGGTAAGGTGCCAGTAGAAATGTTTCCAGGCAAACGGTTCCTTCACGTACCCTCAGGACTTCAGAGACTGCATGGCCTTCATGACATTGAAGGTTGACACATTCTTGTCTGCCAGCTGCGGGTGCCTAGGCATGTGGACTTCCTTCTTGGCCACTATGACTCCCCTCCTTAAAAAGGAGTTCATAAATGGCAATCCAGTTCTTCATAGGCATTAACATCCCAGCGGCTGTAGGCTCTGGAGCCAGGGCTGGAAAGGAAAAAAAGCAGATAATTGTTAGCATTTTTAGCAATGAAGTATTTTTAGTTAAAGTGTGTGTGTGTGTGTGTGTGTGTGTGTGTGTGTGTGTGTGTGTCTGTGTGTATATATATATATAAATATATTTTAGACATAATGCTATTGTGTACTTAATAGACTACAGTATAGTATAAATGTAATTTTTATATGCACTGGGAAACCAAAAAATCTGTTTGACTTGCTTTATTGTGATATTTGCTTTATTAAGTTGGTCTAGGACCAAATATACAAATCTCAAAGGTGTATTTATATGTCAAGAATGCCTTTAGGCTAGGCGTGGTGGCTCACGCCTATAATCCTGGCATTATGAGAGGCTGAGTTGGGTGGATCAGGAGGAGTTCAAGACCAGCCTGGCCAACGTGCTGAAACCCTATCTCTACTAAAAATACAAAAATTAGCTGGGCGTGATGGCACATATCTGTAATCCCAGCTACTCAGGAGGCTGAGATAGGAGAATTGCTTAAACCCAGGAGGCGGAGGTTGCTGAGACTGCGCCACTGTACTCCAGCCTGGGTGACAGAGTGAGACTCCATCTCAAAAAAAAAAAAAAAAAAAAAAAAAAAAGAAAAAAAGCCTTTAAATCAGAAAGAAGAAGACAGACAGTCCAGGAGAAAAATGGGCAGTAGAATTGAAAAGACAATAGCAGAGGCAACATGAGTGGCCAGCAGTTATTGACAAGGTGATCAACCTATTATAATGAGGGAAATGCAAATTAAAACCACAAGGTTCACACCAGCCAGATTGGTAAAAATGTGGAAGTCTGGGGCTGTTGAGTCGTAGTGAGGATTTGCTGCCATCAAGTTCTCATATTTTGCTCATGGGAGCATAGATTGGTTCAACGACTTTGAGAAATTATTTGGTATTATTTAATAAGTTACAGGTAAACATATCCTCTGATCCTGTAATTGCATTCTTACACATACACAGATGTACATGCGCACACATTTACATAGCACATACTTTAAATATGTGCACCGGAAAATGTGTAGGAAAGTTCATATCAGAAATGTTTGGCTTTTGCCCGGCTTGGCGGCAGGCGCTACCTTCCCTGTTGTAGTCTCCCGCTCCGCCATGGCTCCCAAAGGCAGTTCCAAACAGCAGTCGGAGGACCCGCTCCGGCAGGATTTCAGCCGCAACCTCTCAGCCAAGTCCTCCGCGCTGTTCTTAGGGAACGCGTTCATCGTGTCTGCCATGCCCATCTGGTTATACTGGAGAATATGGCATATGGACCTTATTCAGTCTGCTGTTTTGTATAGTGTGATTACCCTGGTAAGCACATATTTGGTAGCCTTTGCATACAAGAATGTGAAATCTGTTCTCAAGCACAAAGTAGCACAGAAGAGGGAGGATGCTGTTTCCAAAGAAGTGACTCGAAAACTTTCTGAAGCTGATAATAGAAAGATGTCTCGGAAGGAGAAAGATGAAAGAATCCTGTGGAAGAAGAATGAAGTTGCTGATTATGAAGCTACAACATTTTCCATCTTCTATAACAACACTCTGTTCCTGGTCTTGGTCATTGTTGCTTCCTTCTTCATATTGAAGAACTTCGACCCCACAGTGAACTACATTTTGTCCATAAGTGCTTCATCAGGACTCATCGCCCTCCTGTCTACTGGCTCCAAGTAGACCATGTCTGCTCGCCCCCTGGCTTTGTGTCTATGGGTGGCCTGTGGTATATGGAAAAGTAGCAGGGTGGTCAGGGTGGGAGACACACAAGATGTTTTTACAGTCTAGAGCCTTTAAAAAACCCAACAAAACGTAATTCAGTATTTGTTTATTGGCTGTTTTTGACAGATTGTTGAAATTAAGTGAATTGAAAAGGGGAAAAAAAGAGAAATGTTTGTAATAACAAAAATTGGCAATAGTCCAACCCTCCATCCACTATAGATGATCAATTTTGGCCTGTTCTTATGGTGGAATTCACGTTGAAGTGAAAATGAAAAAATTATAGCTGTGTACAAAAAAGGACATAGATGAATTTAAAAAAAACAATATGGAGTGAAATAAGTTGCAGTAGAATGTGCGCAACGTGATCTCATTTTGATAAAGTTTGAGAACATGCAAAGCGAAAGAATCTATTATTTAGGGCCACATATATATGGTCACACTATAAAGAATAGCACGGATTTGAGAAATGCATAATTTAAAATAGTGGCTACCTCAGTGGGGAGGAAGGACGTCGGGAAGGGTTACGCTGCGAACGTCGCTGGTAAGGGTAACGTTCTTCTTCCTAAACTGGGTGATGGGCACTCAAGTGTTCTTTGTATGATTGACATAACTTATATATGTATATGTATTTATAAATAATATTATCTCCTTAATATTTGATAATAAAAGCCGGTACCAGTTGGCGAAGTGGGTAACCTGGTAGAAGGCATTGGTGTACATTTGGCATTGGAGAAACATGGCGAAGGCACTTTTTTCTAAACCAGGAAGAAAACTAGAAGGTGGGGAAGGGGAAAGGATGGTTTTAGGAACAGCACTAAAAATCTGCCTAGGACAACCTGAGAACTAGAAGAAGAAGAAAAAGTTGGCCAGGTGCAGTGGCTCACCCCTGTCATCCCAGCACTTTAGGAGGCCAAGGCAGACGGATCACTTGAGCTCGGGAGTTTGAGGCCAGCCTGGCCAACATGGTGAAACCCCACCTCTACTAAAAATACAAAAATTAGCTGAGTGTGGTGGTGGATGCCTGTAATCCCAGCTACTCTGGAGGCTGAGGCATGAATCGCTTGAACCCAAGAGGCAGAGGTTGCAGTGGGCGGAGATTGCACCACTGTACTCCAGCCTGGGTTACACAACAAAACCTGTTTCAAAAAAAAAAAAAAAAAAAGAGAAAAATTTGCTGGAGATTTGTGAAATTGGGGGGTGGTTTAATGATCAACTGTTTTTGTTTAAAAACTCTTAGAAATCCTGGGGGCCAGGAGCCCTTGTTTTTTAGATTTCACATTCCACAGAGAGTTGAGATGACTCATCATGTTTTAAGAAACTCCACAATTTAGCGAAGAAGCAAAGATAATGTTTCTGTCTGGATGAAAGCTCTTTAGAGACGCTTGACACTGCTGTCCCTTGGGCCTCCCAGGCCAGCCCTCAGGGGAGGTGGTGTTTTGCCAGCATCTGTGCCTGCAGCTGTGAGCTGTCCCCAGGTGGATTGCGGGGCCTTGGAGTCCAAAGCATGTGCCTGCCCGTAAGTTTTAGTAACAGAATTTAGCAAGTGCTTTCAACTCAGTTGTACTCTAACATAGTTTAGGTTTTTTATTTTTTATTTTTTTGAGACGGGGTCTGGCTTTGTTCCCCAGGCTGGACTGCAGTGGCACAGTCTCAGCTCATTGTAGCCTCCACCTCCTGGGATCAAGCAATCCTCCCACCTCAGCCTCTCAAGCAGCTGGAACCACAGGTGTGCACCACCATGCTCGGCTAATTTTTGATTTTTTGTAGAGACGGGGTTGCACCGTGTTGCCCAGGCTGGCCAGCTCTGGGGCTCCAGCCATTTGTCCACCTTGGCCTCCCAAAGTACTTGCATTATAGGGGTGAGCTACTAGCACCTGGCCATTTAGCATGTTTTTATTTTTGTTTGTTTGTTTTTGTTTTCTTTTGAGACAGAGTTTCGCTCTTGTTGCCCAGGCTGGAATGCAGTGCACCACCTCAGCTCACTGCACCTTCCACCTCCCGGATTCAAGCAGTTCTTCTGCCTCAGCCTCCCAAGTAGCTGGGATTACTGGCATGCATCACCATGCCCGGCTAATTTTGTATTTTTAGTAGTGATGGTGTTTCTCCATGTTGGTCAGGCTGGTCTTGAACTCCCAGCCTCAGGTGATCCTCCTGCCTCAGCCTCCCAAAGTGCTGGGATTACAGGCATGAGCCACTGTGCCTGGCCCTAGCAGTTTTTCAACTAAATTTTCTTGCCAGCAACTTTAATTTGGTGGCCTGATTTGACAAAACTCAGTGTGGTATGAAGAGCCCTCAGCCGCTAGGAATGCAGAAACCTGCCTCGTTCTGTGCTGGCTCTTCCGGGTGCTATTTTGAGTCTTATTTGAACCATGAGGGATTGACCTAGGTCCTAAAGGATCCATTAATCTAGAAAAATACATGATTCCATGATTAACGACTATAGTTCAGGAAGATTTCCAGATAGAAAAACATGACTTAAAAAAATATATAAGGGCATTACTTGGTCTTGCTTGTGACAGTCTGAAACAGACAGGTTTTGGAGACAGCTGGGCCTCTTCCTCACTAATGTGTCATCATGGAATTGGTGTGACCTGTCAGTGAGAGTGCCGTGGTTCCCTGCTGTGACGTCCAGCATGGCCAGAACCTGGCCAGGGCCAGGCACAGGTGCAGGGTAGGGTCCCAGTGAACGCGGATTTGCTGCCTAAATAGAGAAGAGGCCTCAACGCTGGCTACTTGGAGTGGGTGGTAGGGACGCGTCAGCTGGGAGTGGTGCAGGAGTCCAGGGTCCCGCGTCATTCAGGCAGGCGTCACAGTCTGAGAAGCACCCATCTCACCCCAACCCCTTTTCTTTCTCTGTCATCCAAGAGAGACGCTTTCCCTCTTTTGTGAACCTACGCTTTAGAGCTTGAAAATTGATCTCCAGGGCTTGAAATTGGAGTCTCTGATGCCTTTTATGCTGTGAGAGACTTGCCTGGGTTTTCTAGTTTCCTCCTGAGTTAACTGCAGAAGTGATTCCCCTTGGCACCGCAGCCGCTTTGTCCCTCCTGGGGCTTGGCACAGAGAAAGAAAGAAAAAATGCCTCCCAGCTTGGCACGCCTTCCATTTCTGAATACGAAGTTTTTGTCCCCGTCATTTCTAGTCAGGAGAATTTTTTTTGTCCCCATGGCTACTTTGCCTTCCCCGTTCCCTGTCCTTAGAAGGCAGAGTTGATTTAATTCTAGCTTGCATCAGATACCCAGGTTCATAAATTAGCCACTAAACATTGCTTTTCTTTGTTATTTTATCTCTTGCAGTCTTCCAGTTCACTTCCAAATGCGTCTGTGATTTGTTTTAAAAGAGAACTTGCTCCTTGTTCAGATCTAATATTTCAAAACAAACGATAACGTAGCAGTTTAAAAACAGACACATAAAATGATTTATCCTTAGGAAAACGTTCAGAATTCTGTGGCACCCGATTTGACAGAACTGTGATGTTATTACTTCTTACATTTATAACTTGTAAGCCTTTGCTGTAGAAAAGAACAGCTGCCATTTTACTGTGGTCAGTGTGGTCATAAGTATCATGTTCTCTTTCACCTGTGCTCGGGATGCGACAGGTAAGTGATACAAGCACTCAGGCAAGGAATCCTAGAGCTGGGGTGTGTGGAGGACAACAAATGCCTTAGAGTATTGCTGTGAAACAACTTAAAATATTGACGAAAAAATCTTTCTTATATTGTTTATTCATTTTAAAAGTTCATATGATGGAGAAAGAAATATGACCCTTTAAGCATTGATGAAAAAATCTTTCTTTTATTGTTTATTCATTTTAAAAGTTCATATGATGGAGAAAGAAATATGACCCTTTAAGCATTTTCTATATGGTTTAAGTTGGTGACTTTCAGATGCTAGGAGAACAGCTGGAAATATTTTACCTGGGGCACTAAATATTATTTACAAATTTTGGTATATAAAAACAAAAATCTATTTACAGAATTTTGTCTTAACTCTTGATCTCTGGCTCTGCTAGTAAGTCGATAATACCTCTGGCTGTCCCTCTTGTAGCTTCTATGCATAACTATTTTAATTCCATATAATATGTCTTTTGTAAACTCACAAATTACATAGCAGTATTACTGTTCATTTATACCATCAATATTTGTTTAGATGTAACCATATGTTTATCTTTTTTTTTTTTTTTTTTTTTTTTTTTTTTTGAGACAGAGTCTCGCTCTGTTGCTAGGCTGGAGTGCAATGGTGTGATCTTGGCTCACTGCAACCTCTGCCTCCAGCTCAAGCAATTCTCCTGCCTCAGCCTCCCAAGTAGCTGGGACTGCAGGTGCGTGCTACCACACCCCAGCTAATTTTTGGTAGAGATGGAGTTTCACCGTGTTGGCCAGGCTGATCTCGAACTCCTGACTCAGGTGATCCGCACGCCTCAGCCTCCCAAAGTGCTGGGATTACAGGTGTGATACACCACATCTGGCCATATGTTTATCATATATTCTCTATTCTTAGATCTTCTTGCTGAAGATAATAACCCTTCTTCTTGAAGGGTATCCTTATTTAGAAGCTCCTTTACTGTGGGTCTTCTGTTGGTTTAACCACTGTTAGCTGAAAATGTTTTGATAGAGAGTTTTCCTGGTTATTCACATCTAAGATGTGAGATAGTTTCTCTCAGCCCTTGAGGATTTTGTTTCATTGTCATCTGGCTTCTAATTCTGTGAGGCAGTTACTTTTGCTAGTTTAGTTGCTGTTTCCTTTTTCTCTGTCTGCTTTGACAATTTTTCTTTGTCTTTAATCTATGGTATCATTATGTCTATAGATACGGGTGGTTTTTTTTTTTTTTTTAATTCACTCTCCTTGGGATTTTTTTGGTCTTTCTGAATTGAATGGTTCATGTCCCTTATTAATTTTGGTAAATTCTTAGCACCATGCCTTTGAATATTATGTCTACCCTATTCCCTTTTTTTTTTTTTTTCCTAAAACTTTGAGGAAATGTATGTTGGACTGTCTTATTCTGTCTTCTATGTCTCTTAACTTCTTTTTTAAATATTTCACATTTCTTTGTTTCCCTGTGCCCTTTTCTGAGTAATTTCTTCAGACCTATCCCCCAGGTCACTAATTCTTGCTTCAGCTCTGTCTAAATTGCTGTTTTACATGTATATTGAGTTTGAAATTTATTAATTATAAAATTTTTATTTCTAAATGTGTTAAAAAGTATTTCTGGCCAACTTTTATAGTCTCGTGCTCATTACTCATGTTTTCAGTCTTCTCTTTTTTTTTTTTTTGAGATGGAGTTTCGCTCTTGTTACCCAGGCTGGAGTGCAATGGCGCGATCTCGGCTCACCGCAACCTCCGCCTCTTGGGTTCAGGCAATTCTCCTGCCTCAGCCTCTTAAGTAGCTGGGATTATAGGCACGTGACACCATGCCCAGCTAATTTTTTGTATTTTTAGTAGAGACGGGGTTTCACCATGTTGACCAGGTTGGTCTCAATCTCTCGACCTCGTGATCCACCCGCCTCAGCCTCCCAAAGTGCTGGGATTACAGGCTTGAGCCACTGCGCCTGGCCTAGTCTTCTCTTTATTATTATAAATGAACTGAATAGAACTTTAAAAAATGGATCTCATAATTCCAGTATCTAAAGTCTTTATAGATGTGATTCAATTTAGTTGGCCTTTTAAAAAAATACTTTCTTCATGGGATTTCTCTAGACTTTTGTTCATGGTACTTTGCTTTCCTGTGTATTTTGTAATTTCTAATTCTGTGTTCTGCAGCTCTAGCTGCAGGAATACTTTGAAACCAGGCTGTGAGTGTGTTCTTCTGGGCATGTTGTGTGTTAGTTTCTGACAGGTGCTAGAGACCTGGTCCACTTTAAATTATGACTCAAGCATGCAGTTGTCAGGACCATACAGATAATACAGGGACGATGTTTCGTACCATAGCCATACAAAGTCAAAGTTGAGACATCTATTTTTCCTTTGTTTGACTTAAACAGCAGAAAGTTATTGTCTTACCATTCTGGAGGCTAGAAGTCCAAGTTCAAGGTGTGGGTTCCTTCTGAAGCCTGTGAGGGAGAATCTGCTGCAGGGCCCTCCCCTAGCTGCTGGTGATTTGCTGTCAATCTTTGATGTTCTTTGACTTGTAGATACATCATCATGATATCTGCCTTCATCTTCACATGGTGTTCTACTTCTGTGTATGTCTGTGCCCAGATTTTGACTTTTATTTGAGATGGAGTCTCACTCTCTCTCCCATGCTGGAGTGCAGTGGCGTGATCTCAGCTTACTGAACCTTCCGCCTCCCAGATTCAAGTGATTCTCCTGCCTAAGCCTCCCAAGTAGCTGGGATGACAGGCATGTGCCACCATACCTGGCTAATTTTTGTATTTTTAGTAGAGATGGGGTTTCACCATGTTGGCAAGGCTGGTCTTGAACTCCTAACCTCGTGATCCGGCTGCCTTGGCCTCCCGAAGTGTTGAGATTACAGGCATGAGCCACCGAGCTTGGCCCAAACGTCCACCTTTTATGAGGTCATCAGTATATTAGATGAGGGACCCACCCTACTTCAGTATGACCTCATCCAGGCTGATTACATCTACTGACCCTGTTGCCAAATATGGTCATATTGTGAGATCCTGGGGGCTGGGATTTCAACATAGGAATATTGGGAGCATATAATACAAGTCATAGCAGTGTCTTAACCTGGATTTAACCCCCAGAAAGCAAAGCCTGAGACATGAATGTATGTGCATATTTTATTCTAGGCCATGATCCTGAGGAACAGTAGTGAGAGACTGAGGAGAGTCCAACAGGGAAAAGGGAAAGTCAGTCCAGGGTGCTCTCAAGTCGGACTGTATTGGAAGCCAGTAGCTGCTTTTGCCGTCTTCTGAAAAGTGGACATATTTCCTCCTAACTCACTCTTTCTCTGAGATTATGACACTTCCTGCCTCCACTTTTGGAAAATGGTCTTCAATTGGGGTCTTTCCTTGTCTAGGCTAACACTTGTCCCTTGGTCCCCTGTGGCCTAAACAGCAGGCCAGCTGGTCCAGAACCTGCCTTGGATCCCCAGTCTCTGCCCTAACGCAGCTCCTGTTTTATTCCCGCACTCAGCACTTTCTCCTTATGGTCTTGCAGGCCATCCAGTCGCTTAGAAGATGGTTTTCAAACATTTCTTAAGTAATCTTAAATGTTCCGAAGTAGAGAGTTTTAAGATCTCTAGTCTGCTATATTGCTAGAAATAGAATAGAAATGACTTACTTAAAAAAAAAAAATAGAGTGAACTCAAGACTATCCTTATACCATTTCACACAGATATATTCTGATAGACTGCTGGGATTAGAGAAATGAGGTGTTGTTATGGATTGTGATAGTTGCTCAGTCCCCGGCCTGGGCTGCCGAGGACCGTCCCTGGGCCCTGGGCTTTCATCAGTGACTGGGCTGTCACTTGTCCTGTTTCTCTAGGCTACGTTGTATCTGAATTACAGGTGGAGAGGCCTCAGGTTACTAAATGATAATGTCAGCTGTCACAAGGTTAAGGAATAAACATGTTTGAACAGATGTTGGGATAATCCTTGGATTCCATTCATTTATCGAACTGTTATTGATTGAGCTCCTACTATAGATCATTTACTGTGCTGGGCACTGGGGAGGCAGGTATACAGTGCCTGTCCTTAGAAAGCCCGGAATCTAGTGAGCAGACAGTTCATTTCGGTGGGCATGATAAGCACAGGGAGAAGTCTAGGGCGAGGCGCCAACCCAGCTTTAGAGAGTCGAGGATGAAGCTCCTATCTGTGCTGCGTCTGAAGGGCCAACAGGAGCCATCCAGGTAGAGAACCGGGGAAGCACATTCCAGGTGGCGGTGAGAATGTGCACAGCCATGGAGGCCACGGGGTGTTTGGGTTTGGGGAACTGCCAGGTTCCAGAGCATAGCTGGGAAGGCCTGAGAGTGGGGCAGGATATGATGGAAGCTGAGCCTGCAGGAAGCCTGGGGCCTTCATGTGGAAGCCTCAGCCACTGTGTTCGGGAGCACAGCTGGGGAACGAGGGAGCTCTCTAACTTGGGTAGTGACTGATGTAATGAGTTGCTGTGTTCATTTCTCTTAGAAGCCAGCTTCTATCATGGAAGAGAAAACACGCAGGCTCTGGAGTCAAGGCAGCCTTATATTCAGATTCCAGCTCCACTCTGTCTGGGTGGTCTTGAAATTGATTTGTTTACCTTCGGGAAATCTCTCTTTCCTCATGTCATAAATGAGAGAAAATGGACTAAACAGCCTCCTCTGTTTCTGGTATCCCATGGTTCTGTGGGAAAAACTAAGTAAATGTGTAAACCCCCCCACCTCCCCGCGACCCCAAACACACACAGCTTAGGTTAAAAACAGTGGCCAAGTTTAGGAATATGTGCAGATATTGTCCTGATGGTAATTCTGTCCATTTCTGGTTTCCAACTAGCTGTGTAACTTCTGACAGTGATTCATGGATATTTACGGTGAATGGATGTTTGTTTGATGAGTAAATTCTCTCATGCCTGAAACGAAACGTTAGCCGCGTGGCTTCCAATGCATTGTGCTAACCCAGCTCTGATTTTCTTGATAGATGAGCTCTCTTCGGAACAGCACAACCTTTCCTTATACTCCGTGGAGCTCGTGCTGAAGAAAAGCACTGGGCACAGCGCTGCACAAGTGGCCTTAACAGAAACCGCGCCAGAGTCCCAGCACAGCAGTCCCCTCCATGTCACAGCCCCGCCATCTGCCACTACTTTTGATACAGCCTTTTTTAACCAAGGAAAACAGACCGAAAGTACAGCAGCTCACAGCATCTTTGTGGCAACTTACGTGTCGGTGACGAGTAATGAGGTGGCCGTCGATGACGATGAGATGGATAACTTTCTGCCAGATACTCACTGGACCACTCCACGGATGGTTTCTCCAATACAGTATATTACGGTCAGCCCACCGGGGCTGCCTGGAGGAGCGTTGGAACCCATGCTCACTCCATCATTACCCATGGTTTCTTTACAAGATGAAGAAGTGACATCGGGCTGGCAGAACACAACGCGACAACCAGCAGCATATGCTGAATCCGCCAGTCATTTCCACGCCTTTCGGTCAGCTTTTCGCACCTCTGAGGGCATCGTTCCAACTCCTGGCAGGAATTTGGTGCTTTATCCTACTGATGCTTACAGTCATTTATCAGGCAGGACTCTGCCAGAGATGGCGGCTTCCCTAACAGAGGGTGTGGAAACCCCCCTTTTTTTAAGCTCCTGGTCTTTAATGCCACAGCCATTAGGCAATGGCGTTACTAGACCGTTTCCCTCCTTGGGGGAGGTCTCACAGCCTCCAGAGGAGGTTTGGGTCACAAGTACAGACAGATACCCTGATGTGACCACTGTGTTGAGTCAAAGTCTAGAAGAAACCACCTCTCCAAGAACATACTCTACTGTGACTGCGTCAGCACACTGCCCTTGCATTTGGCAGGACACATTCTGCATTGCTTTCAACCTCTCTTGCATTTGCGTCCTTTTCTGCTCCACCAACCGATGTTTCGTCTAAGCCCTTTCTCCCTAGTGACTCCAGCAAGACATCAGAATTGCTCAGCCATTCAGCTCTCTCCAGTCCCGTGGACAGCACTCCCCTCCTGAGCCCGGTGTCCTCATTCAGACCACACACTTGGTGCGCAGCCTGCACTGTGGCTTCACCTCGGCACGTTCTGGCCACGAGCCTCGTGGAGAAAGACGTGGGATCAGGGGATGGTGCAGAGACCCTGACCATGACCGTGCTGGAAGAAAGCAGCATCTCTTTAATGAGTAGCGTCGTAGCAGACTTCTCTGAATTTGAGGAAGATCCTCCAGTGTTTAATACGCTTTTCCCCTCCAGACCTGTGGTCCCACTTTCTTCCAGATCCATGGAAATCTCAGAGACGAGTATTGGTGTTTCCGCCGAGGTGGATGTGAGCAGCGTGACAACCACACAGGCTCCCCCTGCGCATGGCCACCTCTCTGTGCCGGCGTCACTCCATTCCGCTGCTGGCTCCTTGTCTGTTGTGGAAACGCAGGTGATACCATCCAGCGTGACCGCTGTGTTCTTCTCGGTCATCACCAGCATTCTCCTTGATTCATCTCTCTCTGCCATAGCGAACAAAAACACACCATCGCCTGCCGTCGGAGATCCAAGTGTTTTTACGCCTTACAGCGTGGTTCCTGCAGTGGAGTCTTCACTTTTCTCTGACCAAGATTCTTCCAGTTTTTCCGATTATAAACCCGGAGGTGCTTTGAATTTCGTATCCAGCTTTTTCTCAACGCCCCCGCTGGAACTCAGCGGCTCCATCTCTTCACCTTCGGAAGCGTCTCTGTCTCTGATGCCGAGTGACCTGTCCCCCTTCACGTCTCAGCCTTTTTCTACCTTGGTTGAGACATTTAGATTGTTCCACTCGAGTGATCTGCAGTCATCTCGGTTGTCTCTTCCCAGCTCCACAGGTCTTGAATTTTCGCAGCTGCAGCCAAGTTCTGAGCTGCCTTTAAACACCGACACTTCCCGACCTAGCCTCTCTAAAGCGTCGCCACGGTCAAGCTTCCCTTCTGATTCTCTGGAGTTTGTTGGAGCGTCGATGGTTTCACGGATGGATTCAGAAGCTCATTTTACCTCAGCTTTCACTGAAACTACCTCCTATCTTGAGTCTTCACTCTCTTTCCGTGAATCCGCAGTCACCACACTGGTGCCCCCCAGCTCTGGGTCTTTTGACATCTTGACTGCCGGGATTCACGCAACTTCGCCATTGACCGCTGTCCACGCAACACCCATTTTACCTGCGTTTTCTTTGTTCTCAACTCTGACACCTCCTGACGATCAAATCAGTGCTACAGACGGTCACGCGTCTGTCCTAGCCTCTTTCTCCAAAGCCATTCCCACTGGCACGGTGTCGATCACATACCCGCCAGCAGGGTCCTCGTTTGTTTCTGAAGCGACCCCCTTCCCTCTGCCCACAGAGCTGACCGCCGTGGACCCATTGCTCACACCCACAGAGGTGCCACTGAACAGCTCCACGGAAGCGAGCCCAGCCAGCACCGGTGCTGCCACTGCTGGTCCCCTCGACTCCATCCTGATGAGCGACGCCCCAAGTCAGAGCCCCCCAGAGAGCAGCGCTGCTCCTCCCCTGCCGTCCCTGCATCCCGTGACCGCCTTCACTCTGGAAGCAGCAGTCGACACGCCGACACTGGCCACCACCAAGCCGCCATACGTTTGTGATATCACAGTCCCCGATGCCTATCTGATCACAACTGGTAAGGCCCAACTTCCTGCCGCCTCTCTGGAGTGGGCGGTCTTTCTAAGGAGCTTGTGTGCAGTGCCTCTGGGGCCTGGAGCTTTGTGGTTAAGAGCAGAGGCGCTGGGCTTAGATAACTCCCAGGTAGCATTCCTCCGCTTACCTCCTTCGAGTTCTCGGGACAGTTATTGAGCCTCTCTAATCGTCTGCTACCTCACCCATTAAACAAGGAGCTTAGTTAAACCTGCTTCATCGGGCTGGTGTTCAGATATAAAGGACATCAGTGCCTGCAGCACACTCCGCCCCTGCCTGCCGTATGAGAGGCACACGCGGGATGATGCCTATTACTCAGCAGTCACAAGGAGAACAGATATTAGAACAAATCCAAGAACTAAGCAAGCCTTGGAAGTTCTTGGTAGGATCTTTGTCCTGCCATAACCTAGTAGGTGCATAGATGACATAGTTTAAGCAAAACACTTTTTTGTTTAGTTCAAACAATGAGTTGGGCAACTACGCGTAAGGGTAACCCTTGCAATTTCTTACTCATTTACTCTTCTTACTTTTCTTTGAAAGTAGACTGCACTTTGCTCTCATAAGTCCCTGTAAATGGTACTTTGGTCCTGAGGAAAGAAAAGTAGAGGCCGGGCATGATAGCTCATGCCTGTCATCCCAGCACTTTGGGAGGCCGAGGCAGGTGGATCACTTGAGGTCGCGAGTTCGCGACCATGCCTGACCGACATGGAGAAACCCTGTCTCTACTAAAAATACAAAAAAATTAGCCAGGCGTGGTGGTGCATACCTGTAATCCCAGCTACTCGGGAGGCGGAGGCAGGAGAATCACTTGAACCCGGGAGGCAGAGGTTGTGGATGAGCTGAGATTGTGCCATTGACACTCCAGCCTGAGCAATAAGAGTGAAACTCCATCTCAAAAAAAAAAAAAAAAAAAAAAAGAAAAAAAAGAAAGAAAAGTAGAGGAACTAAATGTCCTCTGAATCCGGTTTCAGCCTGTGGTTCCCTCCCCCGGCAGCCTGGGTTGCTAGCAGACTGGCCAGCAGCTTCCCTTGCAGTGGCATGACTTGTCGTGGGCACATGAAGCTGACGTCCCCCTAAGGACATGCCTGATAGGTAGACTTATTTTAAGGGTAACCTCCTGCGATGGTGGCCTGCTTGGTCAGGGTCTCCGCATTTCTCCTTAGCAAGAGATGACAGGTGTGTGTGGTCTTGAGGGCCATGACTGTGTCTGAACCACAGCTTGATTGATTCTGGTAGGAGTGGAGCACAGAAATGGAAAAGGGGACAAAAATGGCAGAAGGGGTAGAGGAGTGGGGTGGAGTGGACCAGGAAGGAGAGGAGCAGAGAATGTGGAGGGGGAAGAGGAGGAGAACGGATGGGTCTTTTCCCTCCTGCGATTGGGGCACGGGGCTGGGAGCCTTTGCTGACCTGTCACAGTGCCTCGTCCCTCTGAGCAAGCAGGTGGGAGCGAGGATCCTGATGGCAGGTACGTGTCAGTGATCAACACCGTACTGGGGGAATGGCTTTGGAGAAAGAGGCTGGGACAGCCTCTTCTCCCTACACCTCAAAGGGAAACAATTCATTATTCCATGTGACAAGGGATGATTGAGCACTTAGTATATGTGTGGTGCTTCTGGAAGCTTTTAGGGATATACAGATGGGTAAAATACAAGCCCTCCTTTGAGCAGCTCAGGGCCCAGGAAGATGGTACTGAGCCACAGAGTAACGGTGGTTACCATGGAGTTTCCAAAAGTGGCTGTTTGGGATGATCAGGGACAGGTTCAGAAGAATGTGAAACTGGAGATTCCCACAAAAGGAAGAATAGAATGTTGTCATTTGAGGATGAAGAGACAGTGTCTTCTGGGGAAGGAGACAGTGATCATGGCTGGAGATGAGGCGCTGTGATGGAAGGAGCAGGTAATTATGCTAGGAAACGTAGCTGTAACAAAATCAGGAACTTGACTCTCAAGATGAGAGCAGTCCAGAGAGGAAGGAAAAGCCTTTCTCATGCACATGATACTTTTCTTCCTTTTTACAAAATTATTACGAAGTAGGTACAAAATTGTTACAAAGTGGTCAGTTGTAAGCAGCTCATTAAGAGAGTTATTGAAAGCTTCTTTAGGAGTCCTCATAGCTGGATTTAACTTTCATATGCAGTTTACGCTTAATGACATTTGGTGCCTTTATTAGGTATCCATGTATTTTTAACAGCTTTTTGGAGTAAAATTCAGCCATTGTAAGTACACTTGAACAGTTTATGTAAATGTTCAGAGTTGCGGATAAGTGTCCATTCTATTAAATTGTGTCTTTTAGCAGAGATAAGTGCCGTCATTTGCTCCCGGTGATACTTTTGACCCAGAGGAAATAATGGCTTATTTCTCATCTTCATTTAGATTGGACCTTGCTGTCCTTTTCATAGTTATCTGTTAGTGAGAGTGTGGTGAGGGGATTGAGGTGACTCCACGAAAGGATTCTTCGTGTGCACTCTGTGATGGTAAAGCAGAGCCACTCTGGGTGCTGGGGGTCCACAATAGCGGAGGAAGCACTTGCCTGCATGCACCCTGGGAGGCGTGAGCCGCGCTTCCACCCAGAGCCTTTCTGACCCTGTGCTGCCTCTGGAAGTCTCTCTTGCCTCTCTTCTGTTAGCTCTGGAAAAACTAGACATTTGGGAAAAGATCTATAAGAGAGTTGTTTGCTGATGATCCCTTTTCCCAAAGACTAATGTCCTCATATCCTAATGTTGCAGTTTTATATCTTTCTCAGATTCCCCAGAGAAGGTGGAGGTCATAGTGGTGACTGTAGGGACTTTGCAGAGTGACAATTGGACCGATGATATCTTTATCTATGTGGGGCGGCTTACAATGCATTCTTCCTGCTTTCCTATTTAGGGGTTTTCTGTTTCTGATTTCTCATTCTGCCTCTATTTCCCCAAGTTTAGCTCTTGAGTTCCTCCCCCGCCCCTCCCTTCCCCTCCCCTCCCTCCCTCCCTTCTCTCCCTCCTTCCCTTTACCCCTCCCTCCCTCCCTCCTTTTCTGCTCCTTCCTTCTTGTCTCCCTTCTCCCTCATTTCTCCCACCCTCTTAATTTCCTTTTTTAAATAAGGCATTTTTCCTTCTTTCTACTCTTTCCCCTTTCCTTCCTACTCATTTTATCTTTCCCTTTCAAATCTATGGCATAGTCCAACCCACTTGGAGCCTATGTGGGCTATGCAGAATTGGCTGCTGGTATGACTCAGCAAGGTGGTTAGGGGCTGTGGATTTGTTCCAATGGCCTCATAAACTAATAAAGAAGCCCCCACCCACCTTTAAAAAAATGCGGATCACTGATTCATAGGAAAAAACAATCAAATGTAACTTAAATATTTGTTTTTTAAAGAATGAAGAATGCAGAATGATTCAGTCTCCAGTTTTAAAAATTAAAATCAGGAAATGGAAAGCAATTACAGGATCAAGTGTATTCTAATTCTGCATTATGGGAAGTTGATGGAAGAGGAGAGAAAAAATAGGGAAAAGAAGAACAAGCTTATTAAACACTGGACAGGCTTCTTAGTACAGATCTTTAAATGGAACTTTTTAAATGTGAAGAAAGTTAAATAGAACTAGACTTTGGTTATGAGAAATATTTTCTTTTCTTTTTTTTTTTTGAGACGGAGTTTCGCTCTTGTTACCCAGGCTGGAGTGCAATGGCGCGATCTCAGCTCACCGCAACCTCCGCCTCCTGGGTTCAGGCAGTTCTCCTGCCTCAGCCTCCTGAGTAGTTGGGACTACAGGCACGCGCCACCATGCCCAGCTAATTTTTTTGTATTTTTTTAGTAGAGACGGGGTTTCACCATGTTGACCAGGATGGTCTCGATCTCTTGACCTCGTGATCCACCTGCCTCGGCCTCCCAAAGTGCTGGGATTACAGGCTTGAGCCACCGCGCCCGGCCCCAAAATATTTTATTTTCTACATAAAATTTTAATATGTGGGAATTGTGGAAATCTTTTTTCCTTATTATTAGTGGTAAAAACTCTTCACGTTTTGCCTCGAAACAGTAGGGTAGGAGACCTTATTTTACAGAGGAAGGCGTCATCCGGTTTTGTTGAGTAACATTTTAAGGCCGTTTAAAATGTTACTTCTGAGAGCTTTTAAAGCCTCCTGTTTTGTTGTGAGGGACAGAACCAAGAGGGAGCCTGGAATTTGTCCAGGTGAAAATGAGAACTAGAAGCCCCTTGTCCCCTGGCTGGGTCATTGCTGCCGATTCCTGATCTGACCTGTCTGGGGCAAAGATGGTTTTCTTAGTGTGTTGAGCTGATGCTAGGCAGAGTTGACCTCATGTCTTCAAAGTCCCCACTGCTGTTCTTTTCCAGGTAGTTAGCAGCAACTAGATCCTTAACCCCTGTTCTGTCTTGGTCTGGCCTTTGTTTTACAAAAAGACTTTTGGAGTTGCTAACGCATTTTGGCACAGTGCTGGGGTCCAGAGATGTGATTCATACTGACATTAAAATGCATTTGGTGGTTGGCTTTAATTTGTAGTGCTGGCCAGAAGAGCTGTGCAGGAGTACATCATTACAGCAATCAAAGAAGTACTGAGGATTCACTTCAACCGTGCAGTGGAACTGAAGGTGAGTCCCAGAGGCTCAGGAGTACGATGTCTGATGGTACCGGGGCGGATGTGAGAACCCCAGGTTAGAGGCAGGTGATTATGGCCATGGAATCATTCTCTTTCCTCTCTTCCCTCCTGTCCTGGGTAACTCCTGCTCATCATTTGGATCTCCACTCCACTGTCACTACATTGGGAAGACCTTTCCTGATCCCACATGAGGTCAGGGTTAGTCCTTTGGGGGATGTGTTGGCAGAGTTGGAACAAAGGGCTCTCAGACCAGAGGCAGCAGTAAAATCATCTATGTGATTTTACTTCCCTTGATTTACCTGAAAGGACTTGGATTCGTGTTTACATTAGATGTTAGAGTGAGTACAGGTGCATCTTTCTGGACATTTGGTGGGATAGAGATGTAGATCTAAGTCTTTTAGACTGGATCCCATGCTGGTACCACTTCTCAATGATCCCAGAAGGCCACGGTCCATCTAGAGCAGAGTCATCCAGAACCAGAACTGCAGCCCACGCGTGGCGACAGCAGCAGTGAAATGGGGCTTGTCCAAACTGAGATGAGCTATGGGGGAAAATACATACATGCAGAAAGACAGATAGATGACAGACTCCAAAAATGCAGTGAAAAAGGAGTGTAGAATATCTCATTAATAATGTTTGTATTGACTTCATGTTGAAATGATATTTTAGATATGTTAAATAAAATGCATTTAAAGTTAATTTCACTTGTTCTTATGTCTTTTAATGTGGTCACTAGAAAATTTTTAATTACATGAGTGGCTCCTTGTATATTTATTTTGGACAGTGCTGCTCAGTAGAGTAAGTACCCCTCTCTGTGTGTTTTAAACACAACAAACACCTTGAATGCCCTATAACTCATTATTACTGACTGTTCCTTCTTGCTGCTCTCATAATTTTGTGCTGTTTTTGCAAAGATTGACAGAGAGTAAAAGCAGTAACTAAAATGAAATTTTGATGATCTGTGATGCGCTGCCCCTTCATTTGAAACTACCAGTTTTTTAGTTTATTTATAACTTTTAATTTTTCTAACACAGCTTCCTTTTAAGTTTGAATTGTCTTTGTATTTCTTACTTCTCTAGGTTTATGAACTATTTACTGACTTCACTTTCCTGGTAACATCCGGTCCTTTCGTTTACACGGCAATATCGGTCATAAATGTGCTTATAAACAGTAAGCTTGTGCGTGACCAGACTCCTTTAATCTTGTCTGTGAAACCTTCTTTCCTTGTGCCAGAGTCCAGGTTCCAAGTTCAAACAGGTGAGACAACTCAACAGAGTTGTTTTGATTTGTAAAAAGAATTTAGTTTTATTTTTCTGTATTTAAAAAATATTGGAAATCTTTTGTAGAATTGATTATGATGATGATGATTTTTAGAGACAAGATCTCACTCTGTCACCCAGGCTGGAATGCAGTGGGGTGATCATAGTTCACTGAAGCCTCAAACCCCTGAGCTCAAACAATCCTCCTGCTTTAGCCTTCTGAGTAGTTAGGACTAAAAGTGTACATCACCATGCCTGGCTAATTTTTTTGAAAATTATTTTTTTAGACCAGTTGTGGTGGCTCATACCTGTAGTACCACCACTTTGGGAGGCTGAGGCAGACAGATAGCTTGACCTCATGAGTTTGAGACTAGCTTGGGCAACATGAGGAAACCTTGTCTTTACAAAAATAAAAAAATTTAGACCAGGTGTGATGGCTCATGCCTGTAATCTGAGCACTTTGAGAGGCTGAGGTGGTTGGATCACTTGAGGTCAGGAGCCTGAGATGAGCCTGGGCAACATGGCGAAGCCTCATCTCTACTAAAAATACAAAAATTAGCCAGGCACGGTGGCATATGCCTGTAATCCCAGCTACTTGGGTGGCTGAGGCAAGAGAATTGCTTGAACCCAGGAGGTGGAGACTGCAGTGAGACAAAATTGTGCCACTGTACTCCAGCTTGGGCAACAGAGTGAGACCCTGTCTTTAAAAAAAAATTAAAATAAGTTATGTTTTGTAGAGACAAGGTCTCCCTAAGTTGCCCAGGTTGGTCTTAAACTCCTGGGCTCAAGCGATCCTTCTGCCTTGGTTACCCAAAGTGCTGGGATTATGAGTGTGAGCTACCACACCCGACCTTATTATTTAACTTTTAAAAAGTGTTTATAATTATGGGAAATTTCAAGCATATACAAAAGTATATAGGATAGTTTAACAGACCACCATGTACTCATTGTGGGTCCTCAATCATTTTTCTGTTCTGGCCAGTCTTGTAGCCACACCCCCATCTACCATCTGCTTCCCCTCCTCTTGCACTATCTTGAAGTAAATCTCAGGCATTATATCATCTCACCCACACATATTTCAGCCTATATAGCCTCTAAAAGAGGAAGACTTTAAACATGTATATGAAGTTAACAGTACTTTCTTTTTTTGGGAGACAGAGTCTTGCTCTGTTGCTCAGGCTGGAGTGCAATGGTGCGATCTGTGCTCACTGCAACCTCCGCCCCCAGGCTGGAACAATTCTCCTGCCTGAGCCTCCTGAGTAGCCGAGATTACAGGTGCCTACCACCATGCCTGGCTAATTTTTGTATTTTTAGTAGAGATGGGATTTCATCATTATAGCCAGGCTGGTTTCAAATTCCTGATCTCAAATGATCTGCCCGCCTCAGCCTCCCAAAGTGCTGGGATTACAGGCGTGAGCCACCACGCCTGGCAGTTAACAGTAATTTCTAAATGTATTTGACTTTTCACTGTAGACATAGTCAAACATTTACAAAAGTAGAGAGAATAACATACTAAGCCTACATATACCCACCGTTAAGCTTAAAAAAATTATCAGCATCACCAATTTTGTTTCATCTATCCCCCATGAACGTTTTTGTGGACACTAGAGTGTTTTAAAGCAATGCCAGATGTCATGTAATTTCACCCATAAATACTTAAGAATTAATCTACAATGAATTTATATACATTTGAAATGGTTCTATCCCTTGCATCTTTTGGTGCTCACATTCTTATCTTATGTTATTTTTCATTTTAAAATGATACCAGTCACCTTCACATTGCATGTCTTCATTTACCGCAAAGTCGCTTTTTACATTTCCATGCAATATTAAGTAGAAATGGTACATCACAGGACTTAATCCCTTGCTGTGGATGAATTAGTTAATTTAGATACTGTGTTTCTCTCTCTTGATTTCTTACCACTTCAGAAGCAGGAACACCTCATTGGTGAGACTTTGCTTGTTTTTCTTTTCAGTCCTTCAGTTTGTGCCTCCAAGCGTGGATACTGGCGTCTGCAACTTCACCCAGCGCATCGAGAAAGGCCTAATGACAGCTCTCCTTGAAGTGAGAAAACACCACCAGGGAACGTATAACCTCACGGTGCAGGTGAGAACATCACTGAACGCAGAACAGAAGGCTTTAGCCTTTAAAGGGGAAATTGTTCCACGTCATTTAATTTAGGATGCACTTACCTCTTAGTCCCTCCAGTGGTGGAAACCCAGTTTACCTGGGTCGGGATGGATCTCTTCCTGTGGCGTAGGGTCGGCGTAGTGTGCGTGGGCTGAGCAGCTTTGAAGGTTGCAGAGTAGCTGGTACCCGGGGAACTCAGATATGGTGAGCTGAAGAGACGTGACCATATTCAGGAAATTCAAGAATTACCTAGAAAGGAATGGTGTCGCCCTCAATATCCAGTGGGGGAATGTCTACCCATACTGTTGTTTCCGTACAGCTACTAAGAACAGGCGTTGTACGTATTGCATGGAAACTGCTAATGTTTTTATATTTCTTTGGTTTTTTTCCGTCTACATTCTTTCCTCTCTTTTTCCAAAATGGATGTCAAAATAGATTTGGGTGCTCCTGGATCCACTTTCCATGTTTCTTATTTTTTCCTCATATTTTCCATCTCTTTTTATTCTCTGTTTCTACAGTTACTAAATTTTGTCTTCCAAGTCATTAATTTAGTCCTTAGTTGTGTCTGTTATGTTATGCAATCTGTCTGTTGAATTTTTTAGCTTCTTTTTCATTGTTCTTTGCTCCGTTTTCGTTGTAGGCTTTCCTGTGATGATACAGTATTGCCTTGAAAGCCTCTGAGGACGTTAATTAGAATTGTTAAAATGCGTCTCCTGTTCCCTAAGTCATTCCTGTTTTCTCTGCAGTCCTTGCTCTGCGTGTTGATCTCCATGCTTTGCTTTTGTGCTGTTTGTTTCTGTAAATCTGGAGACTGCTGGTTTGTTGTTAGGAATGAAGAACCAAGTTGTTCATTTTAGTAGCTGGCACGGCTCTCCCCTTGAGCTGTGGGATATCTTTCTATGTCAGCTCCATCTCCTGGTGGGAAGATTCATTGGAGCGCTGGGTCCGGGGCAGAATATGTCAGAGTGGGCTTCTCTCTGGGTGCGGTGTGTGGTCAGATGCAAGCAGATGGGGAACCCCCTCCTTCCAGCGTCAAGATAAAGAGGCTCTTCCTGGGGGACGGGGCACTTCAGTGTGTGTCTCAGGGCAGAGCCAGCTGTGTTTTCATTCATTTTCTTTCCTTGTCTGTGGTGTGCATGGGAGTTGTCTTAGTCTCTGCCCACCTTCTTGCTTAGGGCCCAGACCTGCCATAGTCCTCTTAGGCAGGGGTGTGTTTTCCCCAGGAGCGGTTCTTTGGCCTGTGCTGGGTGAGGGCCTGGCTGCTGCTAGCACCTCTGTGTTGGCCTGGGTGTGACAGTTAGGAAGGACTGAGGAGGAAGGCAATGGACTCAGCTCTTGGGCACAGCCTTGTGATTAATTACACCGATTACCACTGTGGAGGCTGCTCTTGGTCTCGTGCCTGCTGGTCTCCACCACGGAGCCCCTCCTGGTCCTCTATGGGGAGCATGGCCCTCTGCTCTGCTGTAGCTGGTGCTTGTGTGTATGTTGGATCCTGGCTCACTCCCTTCTGGTTTATATCAGTCCAGTCCCATCCTTTCTCCCTCCGAGGTTTTTGACGGAATCACTGGTTTTCTTCCATTCTCAGTGCAGGTGTGGATTCATTCCCCTTTGTTCAGCTTATTGTTATTTCAGTGGGATTTGGGGTAGGAGGGGCTGTACATGTGCTCAGTTCATCACTTAATATAAGAAACATTTTCAGTAAACTGAGCATTTAAACTCTTACACAGGGAACCAGGTTAGAAAGCCAGTTATTTTTCCTTTAAACACTTTACCTTCTTTTAAAAAAATCAGAGGACCTGTGAGAGAGAGAGATCAGGGTTAAGCCGTCAGCAGAATGTTTTATTTTTGAAGCTTATTCTGGCTTCATTCTTTCAGATCTTGAATATCACCGTCAGTTCCTCAAGGGCGACTCCTCGGCGGGGCCCGGTGAACATCACCTTTGCAGTTAGAAGCGCACAGGGATTCTTGAATGGGTCGGAAGTGAGTGAGCTGCTGAGGAACTTGAGTGTGGTGGAGTTCAGTTTCTATCTGGGATACCCGGTGTTGCAGATTGCAGAGCGTGAGTACGGCCCCCGTGGACACGCTGGGGAGGTCATGTGGCAGGCATTGTTGTTGGTAGACCTCTTCAGAAAATTTTTTTAGTTTTTAAATGACTTGATTTTTAAAACATTATTTTATTTTTTTCTTAAGGTGTTAGGGTACCGGTGGCATTTGGTTGCATGACTAAGTTCTTCAGTGGGGATTTTTTTTGAGATCCTGGGCGCCCATCACCCCAGCAGTGTGCACAGCACCATATTTGTAGTCTTCTATCCCTCGCCCCCCTTCCATTGTCACCCACAAATCCCCCAAATCTAGTGTATCATTCTTATGCCTTTGCATCCTCATAGCTTAGTTCCCACATATCAGTGAGAATATACCATATTCGGTTTTCTATTCCTGAGTTACTTCACTTAGAATAATAGTATAAGACTTGCTCTTCTAGTGAAGTTTTGGATTCACAGCAGATGTGATCAGAAGCTTGAGTGATTTCCCATATACCTCCTGCTTCTGCACATTTGTCACCTCCCCTGTTATCAGCATCCCCCGGCACAGTGGTCCATTCGTTACAGGGACCAGCCTGCATTGACGCATTGTCATCACCCAGAGCCCATAGTTTACGTTAGGGTTCACTCTGGGTATCATGACTGTGTAATGACATGCAAATGGCATGGATTCTCCATTTTAGTATCATACAGAGTATTTCCACCTGGACAAGTTTTTTTTTCAAGTGAAATATCTGACTGAGTGGCAGAATATAAATCTGACAAAACTGGATTCAAGCCAGGTGGGTCTGCAGAGCTCTGCTTACCCACTGTGCCTGGCTTTATTACTCGGAGAATAAACGGGTCTTATTAAAAAGTACACGAGTTCTGGAAAAGGCCTAACTGCAGGGAGCGAGAATGGATTTGTGGTTGTCAGCGCTTAAGGGCAGAGGGAAAGTCCGACCACAAAAGGGTGGCAGAAGGCAGTGTTTTGGGGGCGATGACACTGTTCTGTATCATCATCGTGGTGATGATTATGTGACTATGTATATACATTTATCAAAACCTGTAAAACTGTATGCTGAAAAGAGTGACTTTTACTGTAAATAAAAAAAAAAAAAGTGAAAACATGAAACCGTTCTTCCTGGCCAAAGCAAGTAGGTTCACAATGCAAATGGAGGCAGACGGCCGCGTTGGGGTGAGGCGGAGGTGGGGGGTGAGGAAGGGGAGATATTTATTTAAAAAAAAAAATAGTAGATTCCAGAGTTGAAGTCAGGCCAAAAAAATTCAGATTCTTTTTCAAAATGAAACAACCAAATGGCCTAATGATTTGTAATGTATTTCAGCATATTGTTAATTAAAAGGAAGAACTTTGCAAGTTATTCTATATGAAAGTAGACAGAGATAAAGCTTTTATTTACCAAGAGCAGCTTTCAGTGTCCGTGGTGCATATATGCCTGCAATGAGCCTGCCGGACAGCAGGAGCCCACTGACTGACCCGGGGCAAGTCAACACATGTGGTCACTTTACCCTGAGACATGGCTGGAAAAGCCAGGCTCTGGGGTACACAGTGTGAACATGCTTTGCTGTGGAACAGTGACATTCAAAGGAGATCTTGCAGGTGACCTCTCTGTGCAGCAGCGTCCTACGATGTGGCTGGAGCCAGCCCTTCATTTCTTTTTCTCTCTCTCTTTGTTCTTGAGACAAATGTGTTCAGCAATTGCTCCTGTTCATGTCCTCACACGAATCTGACATTTTGTTCTTTCATATTTAGAGCTAAGTCGTAAAGGCAATGTGTTGTGACTTTGTTGTAAACCTGGGGTTTTTTTTCTTACAGATTTTTTTTCTCCTTCCCTCATTCTTTCCCTTTTGTAGCCTTCCAGTATCCACAGCTCAACTTATCTCAGTTGCTGAAGTCCTCTTGGGTCAGAACAGGTATGTTTAACTTATGTAATGTTTTGGGTGCTGTAAGGATATACAGTCTAAGCAGGCGTATTGAGAATGATGCTGCCTTTCCTGTTTCCTAAATTTAGGGCAAAATGTACCTTAAATTCTTGGCAAAGAATGAATGAGAAAGGGATTCAAATTTGGCTGTGGGCATGTATCCCACTGAGTTATAGAACAAAAAGGACTGACTTTCTTTAAAATTCATGCCTCAAGTTCGGGGCAGAATCTAACAGGAACTGACAATCTTCTGACCCAAAACAGGGTGAGGTTCAGAAGCAAGAATCTCTCTCTCTCTCTCTCTTTTTTTTTTTTTTTTTTTTTCCTAAAAGTGTTGTTTAGTTTAATAAGGACAGGCAGGGTGGCTTGGCACCTAGGAAGCTTTTTTCTTTTTTTGTCTTAGGGGAGGGGGTCAGGTATTTAGAGGTATGGGATTGCAGTTAAAGGCTTTCTAATGTAGTGCACAGAAGTCTGAACAGTAGTTACGTTTAGCTGCCCAGCGTGCATGCAGCACAGGAACTAGCTGGGCACGAGACAGCATGTGGAGTAGTGAGAGTCACCATTCACGGGGTTCCTGTACCTTGCAAGTTCTCTTTGCTGAACACACAGCATCTGATGTCAAGGCCCCGCTTCTTTGCATGGTGCCTTCAGCGGTCTTTTTCAGGTAATTTCCATAGTAATGAAGTAACTTGCTCCTGGTTGTATCTCAAAGAACTTAAACCAGTTCTAGTTGAAAAACACATGTTCCTTCCTCCTTGACCATGTTGGCAAATGATTGTCGAGATAATCTTGTCTGAAGTAGATAACTAAAGATGGGCAGGCCTCCTTTTTTCAAGTTAGTTTGTGAGTCCAAGTCTCAGGGCAAGATCATGAACTCACACCAATTCCAGAAGTGTTGAGATAAATGCAGATGAAGTGTTTGATCTTGTGTAGGCGTCCTTCACGCCAGAGAGCCTGCAGTGCTGAGTTCCTGGGACTTCTGCCTGCCAGTCTGGGTAACACTGAGAGCTTGGAGCTTAGATAAGATGTATGGGCTGCGTTTCCTGGACTCTCCCCATTCCTGATCACTGTGTCTCCTTTTAATGTCTCCTGTCTAGGGACTGGCAATTTGTGGCAATCTTGCATTAATTTCAAACACATATGCACACACACACACACCCCGTTTTTTCACTGCTGGCTTGTTTTGGGTGCCGCATGTGTTTTCTTTTAAATGTAGTTCTCCTGGGTGTCGTGGAGAAGCAGCTCCAGAATGAAGTGTTTCAAGCCGAGATGGAACGCAAGCTGGCCCAGCTGCTCAGTGAGGTTTCCACCAGACGCCGGATGTGGAGAAGGGCCACTGTAGCTGCGGGGAACAGTGTGGTGCAGGTACTCCACCTCAAAGGACGAGGGGAAGGAGAGAAGGAGAGGGAGAGCTTGTGTGAGTGCACACACCGTCGGAAACCCTGTATTTTTATGCCAATAAGAAGTGCCATGAGAAAATTCTGATTTAGACTGATTTCTATATTGGGTAGCAGGTGAATCTGGCAGCATTTCAGTTCAACTAGCGTCTAGACAAATATTTACCAAGGCCTTAGTAAGTAGTAGGATAACGATAGACCTTGGGGAGCAGAGCAGGATTGTCCAACTGGGGCCATACTATCATAGGACCTCGTTTATCAAATAGTAGTTTTTAATTAACAAAAGTGTAGCCTGTCTGATAGAATGGTCCGTATTATTGATAGCACCGTAGTGATATATCATTCAACTGGAAGAGACCGTAGATCAGATAGAGGAAAATATGCCACCCTCTGCTTGAGCACTTCATTTTCTCTGTTTCCATGGTATCATGGAGTCATCACTTTGGTTAAGATTTTCAGTTTATTTTCTGAGTGAAATCACATCTCTTTAGAAATTACGTAGCCAATTAGAGAAATTTTGAAAAAGACATGTAAAAGATGTGTAAGGAATAAAACGAAAATCACCTAAAATTCAATCAACCAAAGAAAATCACCGTAAACATTTTAGCATATTTCCTTCCATTATTTTTTCCTTGGGAATTCTGTATTAACATTTGGATGATACTGCATACATCTTTTTGTAGCCTCTTTTCACTTGAGCTTGCTTTCTTTCTGTCTTTTTTCTTGAGGTAGAGTCTCGCTCTGTTGCTCAGGCTGGAGTGCAGTGGCACAGTCTCTGCTCACTACAACCTCCACCTCCTGGGTTCAAGCGATTCTTCTGCCTCAGCCTCCCGAGTAGCTGGGATTACAGGTGCCCACCACCAGAGACACCTGGTTGTATCATATTACCCTAAATCTTCTTTACTTGGTAAAACTGGCAGACAGGTACAAAAGACGGATTTGTTTGAATTGAAACGTGACCCATTTAGAAATGCTCATACTCACAGGAAGTTGGAGGTTGGAGCTGTCCTTAATTTTCATCTCCATATGCATTACGTGGATTTTTTTCTTTACCAATTGCTGACTTGTTGAGCTATGAAAATGGGATATTTAGAGCTATGGCATTTCAGAAACAGGAAACCCGGGTAGAACTCTGAAGCAGGGGGTGTGGGCTGGCAGGCAGGGTGGGGAGGTGGGTGGGTTAGAGGCATTAGAGAAAAAGACGCAAACGACATTGGCTGTGGGTGGCTGGGTGGGGGTGTGGACGTGTTGCCTCAAACTGCATCATTGTCCTCTAGCCCTTTTACCAAGTGTGTCCCCCTCATCATAACCCCCTCCCAGAAATGTAATTCTTAGGTTTCTAAAATAGTTCCTTTGCCAGATGCAGTAACTTACAGCGCAATTTCAAAACTAATCACAATTGGGAGTAATTATTAAATAAGTATTAAAAAAGAACACAAATTAGAATGAATTATAAAAGCTTTGTCTCACTCAACAATTCCTGGCTTCATAGAGCCTAAGGCCTAGGTGTGAGTTCACTTAAACACATAAAACTGTTACAGGATACCATAAAAGGATATAATACGGTGCTAAATTTGACATACAAGCTCCCTAAATAGGCATGCAGGGTTAGGAAAGTTAACCAGGCTGTCCAGGCGAATGTGCCGTCTGGTAGATTGCTTATAAGCCGTGAGCTCTGCTTCTCTTCCCACTTAGAGTGATGAAACAAGAAGATGTAGACAAGTATTTGTGTACACAGTACATGGCTGTCCATCAAAACTTAATTTGTAAACGTGAAAGTGTTGGAACAATCTAGATACCCAGCAACTGGGGAATGGGTAAATAAAATTATAGTTAATCTTTCTGTGTTGGAATTTTATGCAGCCATTAAAAAAAAATCAGTGAGTGATAAAGAAAAGTGTTCAAGTAGGCCGCCGGGCACAGTGGCTCACACCTGTAATCCCAGCACTTTGGGAGGCTGAGGTGGGTGGATCACTTAAGGCCAGGAGTCTGAGACAAGCCTGGCCAACAAGGTAAAACCTGATCTCTACTAAATTTATGAAAATGATCTGGGCATGGTGGCCTGTGCCTGTAATCCCAGCTACTCAGGAGGCTGGGGCATAAGAATCACTTGAACCCAGGAGGCAGAGGTTCCACTGAGCTAAGAGCACACCAGTGCACTCCAGCCTCGGGGACAGAGTGGGATTCTTTCTCAAAAAACAAACAAACAAAAAACAGTAACAACAAAGCTCAAGTGAAGAGAGGTTACAAAAGTATTTATGCTGTGTAATCCAAATGTTAATATAGAATTCATGGAGAAAAAACTATAGAAAGAAAATACTAAGGTGTTTATAATGATATTCTTTGGTTGGTTGAATTTTAGGTGATTTTCATTTTTATTCTTTCTTTCTTTTTTTTTTTTTTTTTTTTGAGATAGAGTTTCGCTCTTGTTACCCAGGCTGGAGTGCAATGGCGCGATCTCGGCTCACTGCAACCTCCGCCTCCTGGGTTCAGGCAATTCTCCTGCCTCAGCCTCCTGAGTAACTGGGATTACAAGCACACGCCACCATGCCCAGCTAATTTTTTGTATTTTTCGTAGAGACGGGGTTTCACCATGTTGACCAGGATGGTCCCGATCTCTTGACCTCGTGATCCGACCGCTTCGGCCTCCCAAAGTGCTGGGATTACAGGTGTGAGCCACCACACCAGGCCCCATTTTTATTCTTTCTATCTTTTTTTGCATATGGTTTTCAACATTTCTCCAATTGGCTCGGTAATTTCTAGAGCGATGTGATTTTACTTAGAAGATAGATTTAAAAATCGAACAGAAAATGGCAACCAAAGTGATGATGACTCCGTAATACCATGGTTATGAAGGTTCCAGATAGGAATCTGATAGGTCTAGAGAGAACGCTGCGATTCACTTTTCCTGGCTCACTTTCCGCCTGGGTGTCTTAGTCCATTGATGTTGTCGTAAAGGAATACCTGAGGCTGAGTCTGTAAAGAAAAGGGTTTATTTGACTCACAGCTCTTCAGGCTGTACAAAAAGCATAGCGCCAGTGACATGGTGAAGGCTTCGGGCTGCTTCGCCTCTTGCTGGAAGGTGAAGCGAAGCCAGTGTAGAAATCACATGGCAGGAGAGAAAGCAAGAGAGAGAAGGGAGGGAGGTGCCGGGCTGTTTCCAACACCAGCTCTCTCAGGAACTAGCAGAGCAAGAACTCATTACCTTGAGGTCAGCACCAAGCCATTCATGAGGGACCTGCCTCCCTGACTCAGATACCTCCCATCCGGCCCCTCCACCAACACCAGGGATCACATTTCAACATGGAGAGTTAGAGGGGGTCAAACATCCAAACTGCAGCAGTAGACAAACCTGTAGAATCTTTCATCAAGGTAGGTATCACTGGGTTTGTGGGGATTGTGATTTCTACAGTTTCTACAAGAAGAAACCATACATTTAAAATTTGTTAGAACTTTTTTTTTTTTGTGACAGATTCTTGCTCTGGCCATCCAAGCTGGAGTGCAGTGGTGTGATCTCAGCTCACTGCAACCTCCATCTCCTGGCTTCAAGCAATTCTCCTGCCTCATCCTCCAGAGTAGCTGGGATTACAGGCACATACCAGAATGCCCAAATAATTTTTTGTATTTTTGGTAGAGTCAGGGTTTCACCATGTTAGTCAGGCTGGTCTTGAACTCCTGACCTCACGCAACCTGCCTGTCTCGGCTTCCCAAAGTGCTAGGATTATAGGTGTGAGCCACCGTGTCTGGCCTAGAACTTTTAAAATGCAGTAAGTAGGTACATGGGTAGAGAGACAGGTGGATGTAATCTACTTCCTTTTCAGTAGCCCTTTGATAGCATTTCATTCTAAAAGCTAATAAAAAGTTAATCACACTGGGTGTGGTCACCTGTGCCTGTAGCCCCAGCTACTTGGAAGGCTGAGGTAGGAGGATCACTTGAGCCCAGGAGTTCTGGGCTGTAGCACTATGCCAATTGGGTGTCCGCACTAAGTTTGGCATCAATATGGTGACCTCCTGGGAGCTGGGGACCACCGGGTTGCCTAAGGAGGGGTGAACCGGCCCAGGTCGGAAATGGAGCAGGTCAAAACTCCCGTGCTGATAAGTAGTGGGATCGAACCTGTGTATAGCCACTGCACTCCAGCCTGGGTAAGATAGCAAGACCCTGTCTCTTAAAATAAATAAATAAAAATAAAAAAAAGAAAAGTTAATCACCACAACGCCATTGTCAGGGAGGGAGTAGCCAGTCTCCTGACTGGCTTTGAAATAGCAGCCAGAGGGCAGGACAATGAGTCCTTGTCAGGATGAAGCATAAAGAACAGGTTGTTGAGGGAAGAGGGTTTAGATGTGTGCTGTTAAGGATCTTTAGACATGATCTGGTAGAAGGAGTTCACAGTGAAATCATACAACTGCTCATCTGCCAGAAGTTTCCCATGATGAAGGAGGAGTCCAACAGCTCTTTCCAGAGCACAGGGTAGCATCCCACATCCACACATGTGGACAGAGAAATAGCAGCTGCATTTTGCCAATGGCAAATGTAGAGACCAAAGATGTAAATGGCGTGTGTAAAAGAAGGAGCTCGGAGTCACCGCTGATCCTTTTCTTAGGACAAAAGTCTGGAGTTTTCTTAGAGTCTAAAGGGGCAATAAAATTGTTGCATATTATTAAGAGAAATAGAGCGAAATGAAAAGGTGTTGTAGGTCAAGTGTGCTAGATTTTGAAATAAGGGTATAAAAAGATTGCCTTTTAACACCAGAGAGAGAGAGAGGTTTTGGGATGAATCAAAGTATTATTTGACCCACAAGATTATGAATTTATGAGGTTTATTGTCCGTAGACCAATAGTGGTGGGGGTGATTTTGTTCTCCAGGATGCATCTGGCAGTGTCTGGAGATGTTTGGGTTGTACCTTGGGCCGTGCAGGGTGGGGGCATTGGTGGGTTGAGGGCATGGATGCCACTAACCATCTACAGTGCTCCCCACATCAAGGGATTGTCGGTAGAACTGAGGTTGAGAAGCCCTACCCTAGAAGAATGAGGAGGAAGTATCAGTAGACTCAAGAAAGACAGAACCTTTCTTTGTTAGGAGAGCTTGGCTGTTAGGCAACTGTGCCACTTTGCTCCTGGCCAAATAAACCCTCCTTCCTCCTGTTAAAAAAAAAAAAAAAAAAAATGAAGAAACGATTGGGCAGAACCATTAATAGTCTCAGAGAACGAGGGAAGTACCTAATCCCACGGTTAATGTTGGGAGGATGGTGCTCTTGTATGATGTGATCAGCACGTCCGAGATTGTGGGGACAGTTCTAGACCACCTGGACTCACCAGCCTGGTTCTGTGCATCCTCCCTGCCCCTCTGTCCCAGAGAAGAGGTAGAGTGAGATCAAGCAACCTGCTACTCCACACAGAGGAACTCTCCACTGTCCCTCTTCCCATCAACAGAGAGCACCGTGGTGATTCTGGGCCCCCCGGATCCCTTACAGAGCTTGTTATGAGAATTGGAATAAATCCTGAGTGACACGGTCAGGATTCAGCGACCTGAGAGAGGACATCCAGAAACCCAAGCTTCTGCAATGTAGATGGTTTCTGTTATCTTTCAGGTGGTAAATGTGTCGAGGCTGGAGGGAGATGACAATCCTGTACAGCTCATCTACTTTGTGGAGGATCAAGATGGAGAAAGACTCAGTGCTGTCAAGTCTTCGGACCTGATTAACAAGATGGACCTCCAGAGAGCAGCCATCATCTTGGGTTACCGGATTCAAGGCGCCATTGCCCAGCGTAAGTGCCCTGAGGTGCTGTTGCCTGGGCAGCGCTGGGCTCCAGAGCCAGGCTCGTCCTGACAGTGAGCTCTCAATGTGAAGCATTCTGATGTGTGTAAACCCTGATGGTGAAGTACCAGTTGTTAAAATTCATTCACCGAGACCTTCTTTATTTGGATTTCAGTGGCTTGTAGGTTTGGCCTACACTGCGGTTTTTTTCTACCTAGCGCTTTACGTGTGGAGTGTTATAGTGATTTATGCTACCTTACATCAGCTTTAATAGCTGTCCCTCATTCCTCTACTACTTCTTTTTTTACTATTATAAATTTTGTCTTAGGCAAAGTAATGTGTTTGCTCTGTATTTATTCCAGAATCTTCTGTGTCCTATTTTGAACATTGGCAGGGACAGTGAGTCATGCAGGAAGCGGAGAGGTACACCCTGGATTTACTGGCTTCCTTCAGGGTCTTTTAACACAAAGAAGTCCTTGATCCTTCCCCTTTTCAATCCTGTTTCTCTCCTACCTATCCTCACCCCTCTCTGCAGTGTAGACAGAGGTGTTCTGATGTTTCTTTATTATTGTTGGAAGATTTCACCCCTGCCTGCCTGGCCCTGGCTGCTCTCAGTACTCTCCACCACACAGATTTTGAGTATTTAAAAGTGAAGAAACAGGAGGCACATGAAATAGTGTATTTTTCTAAATATACCTTCAGGGTATGAATCAGATCCCTCTTTTTTTTTTTTTTTTTTGAGAAAGGGTCTTGCTCTGTCACTCAGGCTGTAGTACCACAGCTCACTGCAGCCTCAACCACCTCAGCTCAGCCTCCTGAATAGCTAGGACCACAGTCACTATCACCAAACCTGGCTATTTTTTTTTTTTTATCATATGTAGAGACAGGGTGTTGCCATGTTGCTCAGGCTGGTTTTGAACCCCTGGGCCCAAGTGATCCTCCCACCTTAACCTCCCTAGGTGTTGGGATTATAGGCATGAGCCACCATGCCTGGCCCAGATTCCTCTTTCAATGTCAGTGGTTTTCCTTTATGATTCTGCAGGCAGTCTTGGTAAGAGCTTGGTGAAACTTGCCCCCAGCAATAAAAGGAGAAGTAAACATTTAGAGGAAATCCAGCATCAAAGAATACAGAAAAACTCTCTATGGAGAACATGTAGGAGATAAAGGCAGTTTTTTTGTTTCGTTTCGTTTTGTTTTTAAATTATCCTTGGTAGTGGAAGGTTTTTATGAAATCTGTACTTGTCCCTGGAGACCAACCAAGATGAGAGCTGATGGGCATAATTTCTCTGTTTTATGGAAGATGATGGGAGAGTATAAGGAAATAATCACTGGCGTTTGTGTTTGTGTATTTGAGATGTGATCACATACTGACGTGTTCTTCTCCAAAGCAGTGAGCAAAAAATAACAAAAGCACTTCCTACGTTTCTTCATATGTGCTATTCCTGATTGTAGGAGATGTGTCCTATTCCAGCCAAGCACTTGACATTAAATAGTTAATTGCAATAGGATATGGGCACCTTTCAGATCTGATCTTGTACCTCTTTCCCTCAGTTTTGTACTGAAAACCACGTGGGTAAAGATCGTGGGATCTTCAGGGCTGGCGATTGAAGGAAGCTTCAGCTAACACCAGGGAAAGCCCAAAGGCAGCCCCGGGACACTGGTGTTAGGGCCCAGTTTGATCAAATTCTGCCTCATCAGGGTTTTCCTAGGTTAGAATAAAAAGAAGCAGGTATGATGCCTCACGCCTGAAATCTCAGTACTTTGGGAGATGGAGGCAGGAGGATCACTTGAGCCCAGGAGTTCGAGACCAGCCTAGGAAACATAGCAAGACCCCATATCTACAAATAATAATAATAACACGCAAGCTGGGCATGGTGGGGCATGCCTGTGGTCCCAGCTGCTTGGGAGGCTGAGGCGGGAGGATCACCTGAGCCCAGGAGGTCAAGGCTGCAAGTGAGCTTGGTTATACCACCCCACTCCAGCCTTGGTGACAGCCCGAGACCCTATCTCAAAAAGAAAAAACAAACAGCCACCCTCCCAAAAGAACTAAGAAGAGTATCCAGTTGTTTCATCTTCTCAGTTTGATTCTATCCCGACTTCCGTTTTGTCAGTTGCTTTTATGCAAAATGAGCTACATATTTAAACTATATTCAACCCAGATGAAAAAATACAAGTTTTTCACTCTTTGTGGCTTTTTACCACATCCCATGCAGCCTCTGCTCTAATTCGTGCTTTTTTTCCTGGTGCATTTGATTTAGAATGCCTGCAACCTCCCTTGTTACTCCCTCAGGTGTCTAAACCCAAAGCTAAACCAGCACCAAGAACCTTTTTCGTTATTACGTCATAAGACTTAGTCCCTGCCCATGACAACTAAGATGTTTTTGAAGAGACAAGACTTGGCGTCAAGACTGGATGAATGAGCGCAGAAGTGTAGCACATCACGGATGATCCATTTATATGACAAGAAGCATTTTAAATGAGCAATAAGGTGCCCTGTGCAAAACAGAGAGCTAGTGAAGGACATTAGGGTGACCGAGGAGTTGAAGTGCTACTGTCCTAGGCCCTGGAAGAGGAGGAGTGGAGGCGGGGTGGGGTGGGGGTGGCAGCAGGGTGGGGAGTGGCGAATTCAAAATGAGTAAGATTTGCATCCTGTAAAGTTGACAACTGGTACCTTGAATAACACCGTTTTGATAAAGAGTCATGTTTCAGAGGTTTAGGGAGAGAGACAGGTGGGGCAATGAGAGCAGTGCCTATGGGATACTTCCTAGGATTTAGTTTCCAAATTAACACATTGAAGCTTCATTTCAGAAAACATAAGAATCATCTTCCTTCTTTGTTTTTTTTGATACGGAGTCTCACTCTGTCACCCAGGCTGGAGTGTAGCAGCACGATCTCAACTCACTGCAACCTCTGCCTCCCGGGTTCAAGTGATTCTCCTGCCTCAGTCTCTGCCAAGCAGCTAGGATTACAGGCACGTGCTACCATACCTAGCTAATTTTCGTATTTTTAGTAGAGATGGGGTTTCACCATATTGACCGGGCTGGTCTTGAACTCCTGACCTCGTGATCCACCTGCCTCAGCCTCCCAAAGTGCTGGGATTACAGGTGTGAGCCACCAACCCCAGCCCCTTCTTTTTTGTTGTGGTCAAATATACATCACTAAATGTACCGATTTAGCACTTTTAAGTGTGTACTTCAGTGGCATTCAGTACATTCACAACACTTTGTGACCATCACCACTATCCATTTCCAGAACTTTTTCATCATTCCAAGCAGAAACTTTATGAATTTTTTGTAGCTACCTCATATAGGTAGAATCATACATCGTTTGTCCTTTCATGACTGGTTTGTTCCATTATCCTGATGTTTTTAAGGCTCCACTGTGTAGCAGAAAGTATAGATTTTCCTTCCCTTTTAAAGCTGAATGATATTCTGTTGTATGGCTATACCACATTTTGTTCATTTATTCATCTATGGATGGATATTTGGGTTGTTTTCTTGTTTTAGGCTATCATGAATAACGCTGCTGTGAACATCAGCATCTCTGTCATTTTTCATTGCTGAAGGGGAAACGACCAGTTGCTACATTCGTTCCCATGTTGTATCTCCTCACTCTGGTTTGCTTTGTGTATGGCGCTAGGATGATAGGAAATTATTCATGATTCATTTACTTGATCATTTTCCCCTTCCCTCACTAGGACCTAATCACCTTGAGGGACTTGGCCTGTTCATGTTGAGTCTCAACTTTCCAACTGTGTCCAGCACACTTAATAAACATTTGTAAACATGAGAAACTTGTAGTAAGGGGAGGGAGAAGGCGGTGCAGGACTTTCTTCCATAAACCCCCAGTGGAGATGCGTGTGCTTTGTGTGATCTGGGAGGGTGTCAGTCCTGTTGTACTTGATGCAGCGGTCAGGACTGTGTTCTGGAGACATAGCTGTTTTTCTCTTCACTTTTGAAGGGAACTGCCTTTGTATAGAGTTGTATAGAATGAGTTTGGGCATGGAAATGTCCTGCAGTGAAAAGTTAGGGGTGAGCGAGTAGAAATACTGGAATTCGGGAGACCAGGAATTAACCTAGTGGTGGTGGTAATTCAGCCTTGTAACTTTGGATATATCACATGTATCATTGTGATCCCTGCTGTATTCTAACCTAACCTTGTATATTGTGTTTCTTTGTTGGTCATATTTCCTGTCATCAGGAGGTTAAAACCTAGAACCAGTTATCTGGAGCTGAAATGTCAGGGACTTCTGAGTTTCTCATAGAAGAGACATGCAATCTAGAAAATGAGTGAAGGAGTTATTGAAAGGCCTTTCTTCCTTGCCCACAGCTGTGGACAGAGTGAAGAGGCCATCTCCGGAATCCCAGAGCAGCAACCTGTGGGTCATTGTTGGTGTGGTCATCCCGGTGCTGGTGGTGATGGTGATTGTTGTCATCCTCTACTGGAAACTCTGCCGCACGGACAAGCTGGACTTTCAGCCTGACACCGTGACCAACATTCAGCAGCGTCAGAAGGTAAGGGGCAGCCTCTTCTGCCAGTGTTCCCATAAGCAGTTTCGCGGGGCAGGGATAGGATGAGTTTATGCTCTTGATACTGGAAGATGGGGAAGAGGGCTATTATAGAAATCTTCTGGTTTTAATGGTGGCATCGCTTTGCCTTGTTTCTGCTTCCTGAAACTTTGCTTCTGGGTGAGTAAATAAAGTCCAAGAACATGAAGCTGTATACAAGCTTATCCATGATAGGCGCTCTGGGTTCTGTGATTTTTATTTCATTTTATTTTTTTGAGACAAAGTCTGGCTCTGTCACCCAGGCTGGAGTGCAGTGGCACGAGCTTGGCTCACTGCAACCTCTGCCTCCCAGGTTCAAGCAATTCTCCTGCCTCAGCCACTGAATAGGTGCCATTACAGGTGCGTGCCACCACACCTGGCTAATTTTTGTATTTTCAGTAGAGACAGGGCTTTGCCATGTTGGCCAGGCTGATCTCGAAGTTCTGGCCTCAAGAGTTCTGCCTGCCTTGCCCTCCCAAAGTGCTGGGATTATGGGCGTGAGCCACTGTGCCAGGCCGAATTCTGATTTATTTTACCCCTGGATATTTTCGGAGAACAGGAGCCAAGGGAGGCTTTCTCAGATCTGTTTATTTCATACGCCACTCCATAGGGCAGCTGCTTTATTTTCTGTTCGCCATATTTGGAAGCCCACTTATCCACCTTGATCCTTAAAAACCAAGCAGTACATACCTTGAACATTTTAACTTAAAATATATGAACAGACATTTATCTGCCAATCCTTCCGCATATCCCAAGTCTTGTTTTGCTTTGTTTTGAGCGTCACTTTACGGAGAGGAATCATGTATGGTCTTTCTCGTAATAACACCCATAATGTATCAGTTTCAGGTTCCAGTTTGGGTTTCTTTAGAGAAGAGCAAAGCTACCTGAATGCAAAGTTCTCTAGATTTTTTTTAATACCTTCCCCCACTCCCTGTCTCCTAACTTTGCAGACTTTTGAGTTGATTCACCTACATCTAATTTGACAGCAGATTTTAAGTAATCAGTTTTTCCTATGTCTTTCCAAAGCATGCAACTTAGGTTTTATAGAAATAGCAATTTTCTTTTCCCACATACGTTTCAGCAGTTTCCATAGTATTTGAGGGCCACACCAGGTTTCAGAGCAAAGAAGTTGACTTCTGGTCAACATCCGGCTCGCCTGGTATGAGCAAAAACATGCCAGAGGCCTAGAGGAGAACTCGCTAGCACAGCATAAGTATCAGTCAGCCTGTTTTCCAAGGGAATGGAACGTGGTAGTCAGTCCACTGTTCTTAACAGTCTACTGGATTAAATGAACCCTTTGTGGGTCTCCTGGATTTGAAGGACTCATTCTGCTTTCAAAGCTTGATAAAAAAGCAAAAGGCAAAAAACTAAAGAATAGGCCAGGCACAGTGGCTCACACCTGTAATCCCAGCACTTTGGGAGGCCAGGGTGGGCGGATCACAAGGTCAGGAGTTTGAGACCAGCCAGGCCAATATGGTGGAACCCTGTGTCTACTACAAATACAAAAATTAGCCAGGTGTGGTGGTGTGCGCCTGTAGTCCTAGCTACTTGGGAGGCTGAGGCAGAAGAATTGCTTGAAATGGGGAGGTGGAGGTTGCAGTGAGCCGAGATCGTGCCACTGCGCTCTAGCCTGGGCGACAGAGCGAGACTTCGTCTCAAAAAACAAATAAATAATTAAGTAAATAAACAAAGATTAAAATATTGCCTTATTTATTCTTTTTTTTTTTTTTTTTTTTTTTTTGAGACGGAGTTTCACTTTTGTTACCCAGGCTGGAGTGCAATGGCGCGATCTCGGCTCACCGCAACCTCCGCCTCCCGGGTTCAGGCAATTCTCCTGCCTCAGCCTCCTGAGTAGCTGGGACCACAGGCATGTGCTACCATGCCCAGCTAATTTTTTGTATTTTTAGTAGAAATGGGGTTTCACCATGTTGACCAGGATGGTCTCGATCTCTTGACCTCGTGATCCACCCGCCTCGGCCTCCCAAAGTGCTGGGATTACAGGCTTGAACCACCGCGCCCGGCTGCCTTACTTATTTTTAAACTTTATTTTGGTTGTCTTGGTATGAAAAATTCTGTATTTACAAACCTAGACCTGTTGAGTGAAACAAAAAATGCATTACTTTAAAATTTATTTTACTTTTATAAAAGCGTATTTTTTTTGTATGAACTAACCAAAAAAATGCAAAATCTTGGTTAAATTGCAAGCTTACGGCTGTCACAGACATTAAAAACATTTGATATATTAATATTATGCTTGTTACCTATTTGCGTTTCTTATTTACATAGTCTGCTAAGATTCTTTTGTTCTTGGGATGCTGGTGAATGGCATGGGGAAACCTGGAAGAAAAGGTGATTGGTATCCTAAATGATTCATAGTGTGAATTTCATCGTAAAAAAGATCAACAATAGGCTTGGAAATGTTTTTGTTCTGGTGAAGAGTGTTACAGAGAGTTAACCCACACAGACGGTTATGTATTTAGGTCTTTTATGGACCACATTTTCTAACGTCAGCAATGCCTTGGAAGTCTATCTATTATCTGTTACTTCAGGAAATGATCAGAGGAAAGCATCTCTTGGGTTCAAAACAGAATATTTCCCAAGCTTTCTCCTTCTCTCACTTTTACTTCCTAAGCATTTTCAGGTCCCAGATATTGGGAGTCAAACGGATAGTTTCAGATGGAACTTCCAGCGCTTAGAGTTGCTTTTTCCTCCAGGGCTGCAAAGATCTGCACATACATTCTGACAACACATTTACAGAAAAGGCCCTGCAGGGAGGATTCCCCAAAAGATGAACTCTCTTCTGATACTGTTAGGAGGGCAACGCCTTGCCAGTGTTGCAGAAGCTCAGGCTTGTTTTGCTTGGCACAGGAACTCGCCCTATAGATTTTGTCATGTGTTTATAATGACGCTTTCCATTTAGTTTGAAAACAAATGGCTTTACTTCACACGTCTTTCTTTTAAGGCCATGTGGCCATAGTGAAGGGCCTCTAGCCTCGTCCTTAGGGTAATTTTGCAGAGATGCCACCCTCCCCTGTGACTTCAAGAGTTCTTTCTCCTGCCTATGTGGCTGTTGTCTGTTTCCATTCTGCTCACTCCACCTTCTGATGCGCCTCCCCGCTCCTCTCTGAAATCCTTCAGCAAATCCCAGAGCTGCAAACATCTGGAAACAATAAATCTGCTGACCTAAAATCCACACCCCTTTCCCCTTGTAACGAGAAAGAAACCTCTTCAGATTGTCTGGGAGTAGATTAATTTTGAAATATGATAGGAGGGAGAGGCCATTCTGTCTTGTTTTGAAACAGGGCCTTTGCTTATTTTCAATAATAAAGAAAACCCACTTAGCTTTCTTTTATCGGTATTCTCTATCTATAGACTAAAGTTGTCATTTGTTACTATTGCCTGAAAAACTCCAGCTTGGATCTTCTTTATCATGATTGGCATCGGCTGGATACCACTGCCCTTGTGGAAACTTGTTCCTTCTGATGGGAGATAGTCTATACGAAGGCGTCCCCAAACTACGGCCTGCGGGCCGCATGCGGCCCCCTGAGGTCATTTATCCGGCCCCCCGCCGCACTTCAGGAAGGGGCACCTCTTTCATTGGTGGTCAGTGAGAGGAGCACAGTATGTGGCGGCCCTCCAACGGTCTGAGGGACAGTGAACTGGCCCCCTGTGTAAAAAGTTTGGGGATGCCTGACACCTTGTTATTGGTGTCAGAGCTGAGCTCCTGACTGCCCTTGGTTGCTTCTAAAGGGCAGTACTTTGGGCAACAGACTGGGGCTGCCTACGACACTGGGTGTCACTCACCAAATGCTGAGCATTTGTTCTGAGCCAGGCCAGATCCGGCTCAGTTACCAACACAAATAGCACGCAATCTCTGCCTTCCAGGGCTTTAGTAAGGGAGAAGGACAAGCCGTCCAGAAGCAGTTATCCGGAGTATAAGGATGTCTGCAGAACACAGAGGAGGAGTGCAGGCCACTCCAGTGGTGGGGTACCTCCACCTTCTTCAAGGAGGTGATGCCAGAGCTGAAGCTTCATGGTCGAGATGAAGATGGGCCCAGCAGGGGAGCAGCGGGCAGCTCAGGAAGCTGGAGCAAAGGTCGTAAAAAAAAAAGGGTGCAGCCAAAACTCAGGTGGCAGAGAGCCAATCCCTGGGGAGTTCTCAGGATATAGAAGGGATTGCAAATTACGATGTAGGCAGTGGGCAGCCATTGAAAGGTTTTCAGCAGGGAGAGCAGCTTGAACAAATTTGCATTTGGAACAGTCCCTTCGGGAGGCAGTGTGGACAGTGGATTGAAGAGAGGCTCCGTGAGAATTTTGTTCTATCAGTCAAGGTCAGCTCACTCCCTGTGGTTGCGGCTTGATTCTCTGCAAAGGTCCCCATCACACTTAACGTGGAGGTGGTCTTTGTCCGCCCACAGCTGGCCACACCCTGCCGGGTGTCACCTGTGGGTGGGAGAAGCTGGGAGCACTGCTCTCCCAAGCTCCAAGACCACAGGGTTACCGGAGTCTCTGGGGGAGGGCTGCCCTGAAGACAAACAGATGGCAATAACTCTGCCTTGTCTTCACCTTCTAAATGGAAACAGCCTGGAGGCTGTGGTGACTTTTCACAAATGACATCAATCAGGTAATACATGCTTACAATGGCAGTGACTACATGATGGCACACTTTTATTCAGAAGCTTTTGGGGTTTGCTCTGTTTCTATTGTCATCTTAACTGCTCCTGCTTAGGGGCTCAGGCTAACCAGAATACTGGGGGCTTCCCTGGCTTCCGGTGCCACCTGGGCGGAATTGCATTCATGGCCGGACGTGTTTACAGTCACCAGACGTCTCTCTCTTCTTCCTTGGCTGACCTGCCCACCAGCCAGTCTCCTTGGCTTGTTGGCGACATATTCCAGAGGGGCACAGACACTGTGGCCTGTTCCCTCTGTGATAGATGAAAGAAGGAACAAAAGAGCCATCCTTCTTC